AAAGATAAAATTATTATTACTAGCATTAACAATAATAATAATGATAAAAACGGATATCTCAAACATAATTATTTAGTAATTATAGTCACAAATAGCATTTTTCCTCAGTGTTATACTTTTATAAAATAAAAATTAATCTGATTAAGTGAAAATGCTTCAGTCTAAATCTGGATTTACTTTTTTTTCGATAATCTATAGCCAATATCTCAAAAAAAAAGAAATCTAAAAGAACGTTCTTCGTTAAATAAATTGAAAAAAATTAAGAATTGGAAAAATTGAAAAATGTCAAACTACACAAGTTCATTATCAATTAATCAGAGAATGTAGTTCACGATTAAAGATTTAAAAAATGGAAAAACGGCTGTCGGCAACGAATGATAATTTTAACGTGCTTTCGATCTCGTTCGCGTAATCGAGTTGAAATGAAATCGTGCTCCTTGTTCGTCGACTGGCTGACACGTGCACTGAGGCTTTATACTGACTGATCGCGGTTGTACAAAAGAGCGGAATAAAGAACATACCAAGCGGTCGTGATGGTATTTCACTGGCTAGCGCGCTCTGCTTTTTTGATATACGTTACGTACGCGGCCGTTTGAGAATGCAGGTCAGGGTTGTTGGAAGCGGAACAGAACTAACTTCTGCTGGTGGTACTGGGCGATGAGGCGTGCGAAAACATGCTGTACCAAGCGATCCGGAAGTACCATCTTACCGGGAACGTTCGGTCGTCTGGCAAGTGGCCGAGATGCGAGACGCTCGCACGAGGATCTCGAAAATCTTAAAATCTCCGGATATCAGAACTCAGAAGTCTAACAGAAAAGAATTGCCGAGTCTCTGAGATCTGACCATTCGCAAATGCAAATGCGTTCGCCGGCTCGATGCGGCACTAAAGATGCAGAATCCAAAGGTTTTGGAAACCACAGAACCGTAGAAATTCTTTCGGATGTTTAGATTTTTATAATTCAAGAATTTCAAATTTTAATGTGATGCGTCTCAATGTTAAAAATATTGAAAATGCAGGTTCTTTGAAAGGTTTACAAATGCAAGAATTTGAGATTTTCAAGATTATCCAAATCGAAAAAATTTTATATGTGATCTACGATTTTCAAATCCGAGGATTTTGAGATTCTTAAACAAAAGTATTATAAAAGTTATAAACGCTAAATGCACACTGAGAGAAAAATTATTTGTGATGGTAATTACAGATTACCATGATTGTGATTATTATTGTTATAATTTTAGTAATGACACATACAGTTGACAATAAAAAATGACTATAATTATAATTAAATTGTAGTAACTGAAACTACTTTTATAGTTATAATAACTATAATTATTTTCGGGTTGCCATCTGTATACATTTGTCGATAGAACTATAAGATATATATACAATTATTGTTACTAATATTATAGCAGTAATAATCATGAAAACGTGTAATTAGTCACAAATATGAAGAACTTTTCTTTCAGTGTACAGATACTTTTATCCTTATTTTCCTTGATACACACCGGGAGTCCTCGCGGGTACTTCTGGATCGTCCTGTACAAGTTGCTGACATTAACTATACGGGTGAGAAACATATCTTGCATGTACACATAGTGGAACGGCGTTTGAACGATGATCGTTCGGGGTAAATCATAGAGGTCGCAGATGTCTGCGAAACATCCGGCGGAAATCGTGCGTTCCACGTCCAGAACGGAAGCACACGCCATTTTCATTCGGCAAGCATTCCCTCGAAAGTTCGCCGAAACACGAAACTCTGTGAGTCCGCTCATGCTTGCTGACTCTACTTCCGGTACAAAGCACTCGCATACGTCGCGGGCAACATACTCTGTTGTTGGATAACATATTAAACATTACCTTCGTAGCGATGTAGTTATAATTTGACAACGTATATATTACATTGTTAACATATTACAATTTAAGTATAAACAATATTGAAAATATTATACTTGCAATTTTTAGAATCTTCTGATTTATTAATTAAAAAGTAAAGTACATTGTAACGTGAAGGATCTGTAAGATTATAATTTTTATTAATAATTTAAATGAATAATTATCACAATTTGCATTCTATCCTTATGCCAAAATTAGTGATCGAGAATGTTAAAATTCGAAAGAACATACTGAAAGAGTAAAATATGTAAATTGAATCAAATGTTATCAACCTAATTGAAAAAGAAAATTGGAACGGATTATACTAGGATTATACTAATTCCATTAGAAAATCAACGTACGTGGAATTTAAAAATATATCCTAATAAATCTGCCGATTTTCTTTACACATTTTTAACCGAGGTAGAAACGATTTCGTGAAATGTTACTCACGCGCGCGGAAAGTTGGCGTTGAAATATTTACGGTGACTACGCTAGGTCAGATATTGGAAAGCGTTTTTATATAATCCGCAGATAAAAATCAAAAAGCTACGTACATTCGGAGTTAGACATAACAATCGACGAGCGCGGTGTTCGGGAATTTAACATTGTTGGATTGTTGGATCGACTCCAAATTCAATGTGGGCGCCATTTTTTTTTACGTTTTACTGCGCGTGAAGAGCAGTATCGTTTAACTTTATCTAAATACAAAAATTCGTGCGATAACAAAGAACTATTATTATTATTTAAATATTTTCATGTAACAAGTAACGCAATAATATGAATAAAATTTGATAAAAAATAAATTGAGAAGAATACACTAATTAAAAAATTTTTCTTCGTAAGCTGCAGTTTTGTATAAAATTTTCTGTGCGAAACAATTTTTTATAATATAAAAATTGCAATATGATGTATCATTTTATGTGTCTTCTGAGATATTTAGAAATATATATATGCATCGAGTTCGCTGCATGCGCTAACTTTAAAATTCTCGCAATATTAAAGAAAGTCTGTCGGCGTCTGTGAAAGAAAAGAGATGGAGAGGATTTTGTATGCGTCTGGCGAAATGGAACTCGTGAAAGTTTTTGCGTGACGCTCGGTCGAGCAATCTTTTCCGACAACTCGCGTTCTTAGCTACCAAAACCGTGTTACCAAAAGTCTCTCGCGCGAAGAGACGAGATTTCCGCGACCGACCGCGTACATACGGGGGCGTTCGTCCGTATATACGCTTAAGGGAGGAGATTTTATTTTATTTTCCGTCTCTCGCGTCCGTTTCGCCGTTTACTACGGGAATGCATCCCGTACGCGAGAAGTGCAGCGACGTAAAGCGCAGATTGTTACGATCAATATTTGCCAGATGTACTTTCCTTAACGCGAACCGAGCTTGTGAGAACTCTCGAGATTTTATTGCAGGCGCCTTCATTTTTACACGGCCTTTGCATTTTTATGCGTTCCTGTAAGCTTTCGCATGTTAGAATATTTAAAGATACATTTTTACTGTTTAAGAATAATAATATAATATTATACTTTTAGTATTTACTGAATGTAATGTATGTACTTTCAGATGAAAAATTTCTCTAATATCGCACTGAGAGAAAAGCCTATTTATGACTATAATTATAGTAAAATAATTAGAGAGAGAGAGAGAGAGAGAGAGAGAGAGAGTTAGGAGATCTAGTTTTATAGTTATATTACTGCTATAATATTTTATATACCAAAAAAGTATAGTTTGCGTAAAAATAAGTCGGTGCAATTTTTTTTATATATAAAATATTACAATAGCAATAATTATAAAAATGAAGTTTTTAATCATAAATGACTATCAATTATAGTTACAAGAAACGACTATAAATTATAATCGGTATCTACTATATATTTTTTAGCATAGAACATTATAGTATATCTATAAAAATGGAGTTTCTAATCATTATTACACACTTTACCAAGCAATTATAGACAAATACCGTACACTTTTTTCTCACAAGGAGACTGTCACAACTGTCTGGAACCGATTCGATTCTCCTTGATGTATGTTGTTAAGAAATTTAAGAGATACGTATCTTTTTATATTGGTCTAATTTAAGACTTAAAGGGTGAAATGATCCTTCGAAGCTAATGCTTATAATTGGTTCAAATTGATTATTAATGAAACGGTGAGATATGTAACAAATGTTTTAGACAAAACTTTTACGATTTTTTTGTATACTTGAGAACTGTATTTAGATTTTTCAAAAAATTTAATATATCAAAAATATCTCCGTCCCTGTTAAATTTTGTGATGCTATGAATTATAAATTTTAGATTTAAAGAGCTGATATAAAAGATACTATCTCTTAAATTTTCAAAATTTTTAATAACATTTCAAGAAGAATTAAATCGGTTCCAAATTTGTGAGAAGTCTCTTCAGTGCGGAAATGTCAAGAAAAAAAGAAAAACAGTGATTTATCGAATTAACATACTCGATCACTAACAATATACGACTGCATGGATTGAAGGACAATTGTCTTTCAAAATTTTGTTTATGGCATTTATACATTTTTATCCTTTCATACGTTGTGAATTACTGTCCGTGGCAGTTCTCGCCACATTTTACGTGCACGTAAATGAAATTATGGCGTCCGGCGTGAAAGATCATAAAAGGGAAGCTCGCGCAGAAGCATAGCATTGACCATTTCTACTAGACGTCGTTATTTAATACGTCTACACGGGGTGTGTCAAACATTCTCGTCGAACGTTCCTGCTAATATCATCGCCAAGTACAGTCACGTTGTGCGTGCATGTGCATACGTTATGCAAGGCATATTCGCATACAGGGTATCCCAGAAATCGCGTGTTTCCCTCACAATCGCGAATCATTATATATGTATATTCAAATTAATACAATTGAAGGGGCAGTTAAACGGAACAGTGATAAAGACAAGTTTTATCACGAGCGTTTATAAACATGAGGAAACATTTTTATTAATTAATGCGTAAATTTAGAATAACAGTGAAATAGGATCTGATTTATCCGAAGCGTTAAAATTCAAGGTCGCGAGGACTGAACGTGGCGAGGGGACGTTAAAATCTGGAACACCCGGTATACGCGCATAATAGGGCTTGATAGCGAAAAATCGTCATCTCCCACCGTCTTGACGTAGTTGACGGTCTCAGCGGTCGCTTCGGTGAGGGCCCGGCGTAGTCGTGTCCGTCGCACCTGCGACAGCGTACGTGGACATAGTACGACGCCCTGGCCGCCTTGGGTACCAGAAGCGGCGCCAGCGGACGCCGCGGCCATGGAGGAGGCCGCCGTCACCGCCGCCATCGTCGACGAGGACGACTTGCACCACCACGGGAACTGAGTTGGCGTTATGCCGATATAACAGCGTGGTTAATTAATACACCCACTTCCTGCTCGCGAGCGTTTCGCGGTGCACGTGGACGACGTGACAGACAGCACAAGTGCAAGATAGCATTATACAGACACGTGGTCGTGGACGGACACGGGATCGGTTGCACCAACGGTTATCGTGGAAACTAACTTCGGTCGGTTCTCTGGTGTCAGGCCTAACTACGATGACTAAAGAGATCTACTGTCCTACATATCAACTACGGTAAACTTGATCAGGATAATGTCGTTAGACTTAACAAGAACGGCCTTGATGATTAATTCTGATTCTCCTTCTAGATTTCTCTGATCCCTTTTACATTTTCACCCTAACTACAACAAAGACAAAGAAAATTTAGCTTGAGGCCTAGCGATGTAATTAAGCTTAAGGATTGAGAAAGTATTGTAAAAGTACTAGTTACAGTTACAGTTTTTTCTTTCAAAAAGTAACTAGTTACTGTTACAAGTTACCGATTTTAAAAAGCAACATGTTACAATTATAATACTTAAAAAATAATGAGCCATTGCTTTTCAGTTACTTTTTGGTTAATTTTTTGCATTGCTATTTCAAATATAAGAATCTTATGTATTTTCAACATTATTAAATTATTCTATTTATACAAATTATTCGGTTATATTAATAACAAAATTCAGTTATACATATAATGTCATATTAATAATAAAATAATACTTGAAATTACAAAATTATGAGCTCAATATTCAATATAATAATAAGTGTTCATATAAAAGGCTTCTAGCTTAATTCTTAATACAGATATAGCTGCAGAATATGATGATTATCAAGAATAAATATATATTCCAATCACAAGAAATAATCACTGATTGTTCACATTCAACACTTCATTTTGGTCAGCCCATATGTTGACGAATAAGTTTGAAATACATAAAAAAAACTATTAAATTAATTACAAGTTATAAAAAAAATGTAACTAAGTTAAGTTGTAGATGGAAAGAAACGAATGAAGTTAAGTTATAGTTACTATAAAAAAAGTAATCTTCACTATAACTTCGTTACAAGCAACGAGTTATTTTCTAACCCTGGCTTAAATGCCAGATGCACTTAAACTTGGTTAACCATTTAGTAAGTCTTTTTACGAGATTGTAGTGACGATTGCAATACCAAGAAGAAATATTTACTTAATCAGATTGTGCTATGTTATCATAATGTACAGAAATTAATTTATTGTTAGTGTTATCAGTTTTGCTTAAGCAATGTTGTTTAAAAAATGGAAGAAAATTAAAATTCTGCCTAAATAACTCAGCTATATCTTAAATAAAAAAAAGTTGATGTGATAATTAAATTCGTGTAAACTGATTATAATGGAACAGATTTTGGAGATGAGCTGGAGATAATCATTAATTAATTCTTATCATCCACTCTCCGCTTCCTGGATTATTCTCGCTATAACGCAGATAAATAGAGACGAGATTTAGCCAACCGCAGTTAGCGGTAACCAACGTTGGTGCAACCGGAGAGAGCCCAGAAATATAACAGACAGATGACGATCCCTCTCCCACGTTACCGAGATATCTCTTCTCATCTCCCTCCGTATCTCAGCTCGCCCTGACGCCCGCGCGACTTTCTACCTCCGTCGCTCCTAAACAAGCACTCATCATCTACGCCGACTGCTAGCTCGGCGCTACTGCTAAACTAACAGCGATCGGTCTAACCGAGATCAGCAGAGAGGCAAGTTGGAAGTGACAAACGCTAACAAGCACATAACACGACGGAAATGCAGCAATTGTCGCGCCCTCGTTGACGAAACTGCCTGATGACATCTTGTTTCGCAAGATTTTCCAAACTTCGAATTTCCATACAGTACATCATCAATAAGTGAAATCAATGTTTTCGAGAGAATCTCCGAGAGAATCTCCGTTTGTAGCTCTTGTGAATTCTAACGCGTTTAACACGCTTGATCGAAATATATGTATATTAAAAAATTATGTTATATATATACATTAACCCTTTGTGAATGGATGGCCTACCTTATTTTATTTTGTAAATTGCTCGCTCGATTTTCATGAAACTTGTAGATTAATTTGATAGTACTTTAATTCAATTTGAGATCAAAAATATAAAATTCGAAATGATGGATCCAATATGGCGAACAAAATTTTAAAAAAATCTGATTATCGTAAAACAGAGATTAAAAAAATTTTTAATATTTTGCCAACATAAATAACATCAAGTTTTCAGTTTTGCTTCATTTAATGTTTATCAACTCTATAAACAATTAGTAAATGACTTCCAAACGTTGATTATAAATGAGCTTTGACATAAATTCCTCTTTCATTGGAGATTACTATCTTTTTTCGAATTTCGACATTTTCAGGTCACACTCAAATTCACTGGGATGCTAAAAATTGTCTAAAACCGAGTCCCACAATCAGAATTCTTTTTTTAAAATTTGATGCGATATAAATTGGATCCATCATTTTGAATTTTAAAATTCTAAGGCCAGAATCAAATTAAGCGATCCAAAAACTCTTAGAAAACAAACAAAAAGTCTTTCATAAAAAAAACTTCCGTTCTTAAAAAGTTAAAAAATAGTATATAATTGAAAATAATCGTGTTAATTCAATAACACTATTAATAAAATAAATAACATTTTGTTAAAACAATAGTAAAACGTATTTATTCATTAAATGTCATTGCAAGATTATTTTCAATTAGTTATTATTTTTTGCATGTACCATCAAACGTCAATAAATTAAAAATACTAAAAATATGATTAAATATCGCTATCGCATTCAGAGAAAAAAATAGTACTAGCAACTAGAGAAACTAAAAAGAAACAGAGAAGAGAAATATTATTTCAACTATATATCACAATATTGCAAACTTGCGATAAAAAAAATAGATAAATTGTAAAAATTAAATTAAACTAAAGAAATAAACCAAAGAAACATAATAATGTTAACCACTTACAATAAATATGCTTAGATGGATTATAAAAAAGATAATAATGTAAAATAGCAACATTAACGAAAAATATATTAAAATATAAAAGTATATTGTGTATGTTAATTTAGCATAATAATTCATCTCAGAAAAATGTATAAATCGTGTAAAATAAAATAACATTATTATGTTTTTATGAGAGAGAGAGAGAGAGAAATCTACATAATTATATGTATTATAGTATTTGGGTGCTTTGCTATTTAACTTTAATATTTGTATATATATTTATATATATTATTTAATTGTTTACATAAATAATGAAATAATGTTAATATCATTAAATCAACAATTTCTATACATATATCGTAGTCACAAATATTAAATTACTTTTGTAATTTCACATTTGTAAATTTACATTTGTCGTTATCACTCTTTTAATAGTTCTAATTGTAAGCATTATTTTCGTTTTGGTGATATCATAAAATTAATCGCACATACTAAATCTCAAAATGGTTACATAATGGCTACGTTTACACCGTGCATTTAGGCCGCGGCCTATACAATAGATGTCCTTATTTAACCTGTATATTAAACAAAGACACCTATCGTATAGGTCGCGGACTAAGCGCACGGTGTAAACGTAGCCTATAGTCGCTAGAACTATTTTGTTTTTTCTCTGAGCGTAGATATTATAGATATTTCGCATATGGTTCCAATTACATCGACTGTTCGCTACGCGTGCACTTATAATGATTTACCGTGACACAGGAAGTCATCCGTTTCGGTGCAGCGACATGGCCGACATGCATAGCGAGAATATCCTGGAAGGATATTGGTCTATACGCGAATCGGTTTGTTTGCGGATGGGCTCGTTGTTGTCTTCCTGAGTATATCCCAGTCACAGCCATGGAATATACACACGCCTAGTTACCACACATTTATAGTCAACGAGCCAGTCAAGTAGGGGACAAGTTGCTGGGCAAGCAAACGAATAGAAAGCCCTTGTAATAGCGAGGAGAATCGTGTGCTCGACTTTCTCTCGTTACGCCGATATCTCAAGAGTAAGGAGCCTCCTTACCCTATCTCACTTGACTCGTCCGAACGACTATTCGCGAGATCGTGAACAGGTTGACAAGTCTCAATTTGACTGAGAAGTTCGTCTCGGTGCCATCAATATTTGTTCGACTCTGGCTAGGTGTACCCTCGAGAATCTTGTCATCGCTCTTAATCTCTGTCAAACTTGAAAGATTGTTTCGCGTTGCTTGCGTTTCTCGGATACTAACGCTCTCAAGTATACGCCAATTCTAACTAGTTGCTCGTTTCAAGAAGCAAAGGAGTGATCTTCACATCGGATTTGCCTCTCTGCTGACTTCGTGTAAACCGGCTTAAAGGGTTGCTAGACTAAAGACTGGGCTAGACTAAAGATTCGGTTGTTTGCTTGGTTCGGGGGATGAAACAAACGACGCTGAGGAGATACTCGGAGACGCTCGATGAGGTTAAAGGGAAGAAAATAAGAGAGAAAGAGAGAGAGAAAGAAAGAAAGAGAGAGAGAGGATAATGTGCGAATGTGACGTCGAAGAGATCGTCCCGGAAATGGCAAGCCGATTGATCCACGCGAAGAAGTCGAGGGTAAGAAATACTTTCACGGCGTGGAGAAATTTCACCTGAAATTTCTCCACGCCGCGCAGATTTACGATGTCGAATCCGGAGACGTTGAATTATGACAGATTAATAGATTGGCATCTCTAATCTTATCGGCCCTTGCAGCGCCGGCTGAGCCGCCGTTCGTGCGTGAGACGAAGCACTGGTGATTAACCCTTTGATCGCCGGAAGAGCAAGTTTGGTATCAAGTTAAATCCATTCGTTGTCACAGTATGAAAATGTGAGAACTTAATTATGCATCAGGCAAAGTGATTATGAAATCATCGTACTCTTTCTGCGAATCAAGAACCTTTTGACCTATTTGAGATTGGATTAGTCACAAAGAATTATGTTCTTTTATCTAATTATTCAAATTTCGACGTTACGTATTTTATTGAATAAATAT